TTAAATATGACCAATGAACTGATAATTTCTAAATTGATTTCTATAGCCATAATTTCCTTTATTCACACCTGATCTTAGTATACCAAAGATTACAAATAAAACACATGCAAAAATCAAGTGCACTTCCTTGTGTTTTTAATTATTGAGGATTGAAGTTAGCTTCGCCAAGAAAAAGAAAAAAACATGCTTTTTAGCTTTCTCTACTGCATTCAATCCTCTACAGCCTTCCCCATTTCATTAAATGAAATCTCAGCATTTACCTATTCACACTAAAAACATGTTGGTGCTATCATTGACTTCACATCTAGTTCATATAAATTTCCATTGTTTAACCTCTAAAAAAACATCTGAACATGATTGTTTGATGGCAATGTGAAAATATTCAGTAAGTTATAACCTCATATTCTACCATCCCATTCTCTTGCTGTTCCCTCTTGTTTGGGGCATTCAAACAACCCAGATATCTTTTTTTTAAGAAAACTTAGAGTTTTAAATTTATTAATTAAAGAAAACTTGGCATTTTACATTTTTCTATTGACAAAATATATTTGTTAAACTGTCTTCTTTATTCCTGAAATTTTATTTTATTTTTAATTTTTTAAATTTATTTATTAAATTTAATTTTACATATCAGCCACAGATTGCCTTGTTCTCCCCCTTCGCACCCACCCCGTGCCTTCCCCCCAGCCCACCCCCCATTTCCATCTCCTCCAGAGCAAAGACTCCCCTGAGGATTGAGTACAACCTGGTAGATACAGTCCAGGCAGGTCCAGTCCCCTCCTCCCAGGCTGAGCCACGAGTCCCTGTATAAGCCCCAGGTTCCAAACTGCCAGTTCATACACTGAGGATAGGGCCCTGTCCCACTGTCTGGATGCTTCCCAAGCAGATCAAGCTAATCAACTGTCTTATTTATCTGGAGGGCCTGATCCAGTTGGGGGCTCCTCAGCTATTGGTTCATAGTTCATGTGTTTCCTTTCGTTTGTATAAATGTCCCTGTGCTTTATCCAACCCTGGTCTCAACAATTCTCGCTCATACAAACCCTCCTCTTTCTCACCAATTGGACTCCTGGAGTTCCACCTGTACCTCAAAGAGAAAAATAGAGCCAAAAGAATGATAAGATGCATGCACATAGATGCCACTTCCTGGTTCTTGTTCTGACAATGCATTTTGCTACTTTATTTCCTTGGATAATTTTATAGTTTCTATTTATATCAATTTATAGTGAAGTCTATAAATTGGTGAATAATCTCCACCTCCTGGAACGTATATAAAGAAAAAATGAATCATGATATAAAATCATCAATATGTATTAACTATCAATACCATTCTTAATCATGATCATCATCACCACCACTATAATCATTATCACCTCAAGACAACCACTATTATCACTTCCAATGAAATGACCATTAGGTAACATGACCTCTACTGTTAGATAACCACAACCACCATCATTATCAGTCTTAAACATTGGGATCTATCACCAAATCATCATCATTCTCCTCCTCCTTGTCCTCTTTGTCTTCATCCATCTCCTCTTCTTCTTCCCCCGTAGTATGTGATAAATGCACAGTGTGGAACAGGAATAAAATAATGATTAAAGTTATTTCTTTTCCCAAAGCAATAAAACAAAAGAAAATGTGATCCCTTGAAGTCAAAGAAGACAGATTCCTTTAGTTTTTAACATATGAAAAGAACAGGTGAACAATGGAGAGTTTTGATCAAAACACATTATATACACCCATGCAATCAGAAATAATATTTTTAATTAAAGAATAATTAAAACAAAGTATATCAAATTTTGTGTGGCTTCATCAGCTAGTCTACATTTGAAATGTGTGTGTGCACCTCTGAAAAATGCACAAAGAAACATACACAAACACAGGTATGTATTCACACTTCCAAACATGTGCATACAAAGAAACACACACAACAATAATTACTATGTATTTTGACTATGTATAAATTAATTTAAAGCATAGCATGATTTTTAATGTTTGAAAATATTATTAACCCTGAAATTATGAATGAATAGAGCTACAAAAAAAATCATCCTGAGTGAAGTAACAGGGAGTTCAATAGATAAATATTATATATTTTCTCTTACATGTGAATGTTAGCTATAATCATTCTTCATTTTGTATAATCATATGTATAACCATGAAGCATACATGCTTCAGTTTGTATAACCATAGAGATTAGGTATAAAGTACAAGGGGAATCCCCTCTCTCACCTACTCTTGTACTTTATACCTAATCTCTGTGGTTTATAGAACATATAGTTATAGAGAAGTGGTGGGGACACTGAAGGGCTGACACCTTTAATTGGGCATCAACATGAATTCTCCATGTTCAGTGTGGTATGTAAGAGGTGCTTCAGCAGTAGGGCCTTACCTCCTAGCTAGTGTTCAGTGTATTGAAATGTACTCTGCATACTACAAGAGGAACAAGGTAACCACAAACCCATTTACAAACCCTATGGTCTAGAGTAGTCCCTTCCTGCAGGATATGCTGTGCAACAGTGGCACAAATGTTGTAAGACTAACCAAGTACTCTCTGGTTGGATTGAAGCCCACTCTGGAACCTGCTTCTGACACTGCTCAGGTAGCCCCCAAACCTGAGAATGATTACTTCACGGGCCTAGGGAAAAACCAAATACTATACTGGTAACGTAATATAGCAATAAAATAAGTCCTATTGGTATTCTATTATACCCATTGACGAATGTCTTGTTCAGCCATCACCATAGAAACTCCCTCTTACAGTACATGGAAACTAATAAAGAGATCCACAGCTGTACAATGTACAGGGGGTGAGAGACTTAGAAACACTCAGTTCTATCTAAATGGGAGGTCTTCAGGAAACCCCTCCTCTCAGGTCTCAGGAAAATCAATATTTCTGTGAAAGATGGTGCAGAAAGATTGTAAGAGCAAGAAGAGATGAATTGCTCCAAGAAAAATATGGTCTTTTTGATACAAAAAAGGATTAATTATGTACATAAGAAACCATAGAGACTGTGGTAGTGTGTATAGAGCATATAGAATCAAGCAGATGGATTCCCAATGCTGAGAAAGTAAAATGGATTCCCATCCCTAACCAAGAAGCAATCTCCAATTGACATCCACTTGCAAAGAAAATTTTAGTTTTCTTTAATGGAGTCTCATGGGTTGTACTTAGCACACTTAAGAGTAGGCTCCATGTCTAGCAGTAGATGGCTAATACAAAATGAACTCAAAGTAGACTTTTTGTTTCAGAGTGCCTTTACTAGTCTTTTATATTGCAGTTTTTGTTTGATTTTGTGTTGTCATGGATTGTGTGTGTGTGTGTGTGTGTGTGTGTGTGTGTGTTTCTTGTGGGTTTTTTATTTTATTATTATATGGGTTTTGCCTGTTCATAAAACAGAATATATTGTGTTATCCTTCAATTTAAATACCATTTAACTTTTAAAAGTGTAAGCCATTTAGGATTCTAGCATTAGTATTATCAGAAGATTAATATTTCATCTTACGAAAGTAAGTAATACATAATGTAAATAGACAACCATATAAAGGCATAGAATATTAAAACCATACTATTACTTGAGAGTTGTGGCTCATGTCTGTATTCTTAGTCCTTAAAGAGGCTAAGGCAGAAAGTTGCAAGTTTGAAGCCAAACAGTTTCCACATACCAAAACCAAAGGAAAAACAAATCCAAACAATATACTATTAGCTAATTTCAAATTATAGACATACTTTGTGATCTACAAGATGCACATTCTTTTCAAAGCCATGTGGAACATTCAATTGATCAGATTTTGTGTCATGAAACACAGCCCAATGTTACAAACTTCAAAGTATGCTAAGAATGCAGGACCATGTAATTAGCACAAGTCCCCTATTTAAATTATATACACAGCTCCACACAGAACAGGAAAGAAGGGAAATCGCTTTGAAAACCATATCAGTACAACATTGACTCTAACTAGTCAGTTATGCCAGCCTCTTAGATCTTGCAGCAAAGTACATCACTTTATTATGGGGAAATTATATTGTCTAGGACTTAATCACTAAACTTATTTATCTGAAAATATTGGGCAAACTCTCTGGATCTTTCTACTGAGAGTCTTCTATTATTATACTACCAAGGACATTTGAAAATTTACCTAAAATATATATGTTTAAAGACATGTGTTACAAGCTATGTGCATCTATACTTCCTGAACACTGTAAACACTTGATAACATTGCTAATACTTAATAAATGTAAATCTGAATTATATTACTAATGCAAAAAATATTTAATAAACACTATTCAATAAAATTGGATCAATAATTTTTCTTATTTTTACATATGATACTATAATAAACAATTTGATGCTTTTTGTTGGTTGATAAACCTCAATGTCCCTCTTACACAACTTATATCACTAGAGAATGACCTCATTATAGAATCACAGAGATACCAGGCCCTCTTGCATCCAGTTGGTTTCCACAGTACAGGGCTAATCAAGATATGCAAAAGACATTGTCATCCCTGGATTCTCTTTGTATTATCCTTTTTGTTAAAAGCTTCTTTACTCTAATCAAAGGTACCATTCCTGGAATGTAATCCATTCTGAATCCTGTTCTCATTTTTTTTTTTTTTTTTGCTAACAGTGTACCTCTTCTTAATTTTTAGGTGTCTTGATGATAATGGCCTCTTGAAGTCAATAATGCTTAAGTGCTTTTCTATTCCCTGGCTCCCAATTGCTGAAAACAATCCCTTTATTTTATCAAAAACTAATTGAATAAACTAAGTCTTTCCAACTACCTAGCTATATAAAGCCATATACTTATCTCTTAACATTATTTTCTACTTATGTACTTGCTTATATCACTCTTACAAAATTAATCACCCAGTCTAAAAGTAGCACACAGTAAAGAATATCACCACATGTAGGGAACGTTTTTGTACTTCATGTTTTTGTTTTGATGAACATCATTGCAACATCAGGTAAGACTATAATTTTGTAGTGGCACAGGAATTTGCTTTAGATAGGTCTAAACTTTGTTATATCAAAGTTTTCCTAGCCTATCAGTTTTTGAGAGAGACTATTTCTGGTAACTATTTTCCCTATGGCCCCTTTCATCTCACTGTTCCTCAGAGTGTAGATGAGGGGGTTGAGGAATGGGGTTCCCAGTATGTACACCAGGGAGATAAATTGATCTTTCTTGGGGTGGTAGTTGGAGTTAGGGCGCAGGTACATGAAGGCACAGCAACCATACTGCAGCAGCACCACAGTGAGGTGAGAAGAACAGGTGTTAAAGGCCCTGCGGCGGCCAGCTGCTGAGTGGAGTTTGAGCACAGCAGCCACTATCAAGGCGTAGGTGGTAGCAATGAAAAGGAAAGGTACAGCAATGGCCAGTGTGGCTGCCACTAGTACAGAGAGCTCATGGATATGACTTGTGGCACACACAAGACGCATCACTGGTGGAGCATCACAAAAGAAGTGCTCTATTCCCCTGTTCTGACAAAATGGAAGACAGAAGATGAAGACCACAAGCTGTAAGGACAGGAACAAACCAATGACCACAGAAGCCACAACCAAGCGGACACAAAGAGTTACAGTCATGATGAGAGGGTATTGCAAGGGGAGACAGATGGCAACATACCTGTCATAAGCCATGAAAGCCAGAAGGAAGCAATCAGCACTACCAAGTCCAATGAAGAAAACCATCTGAGTAGCACAGCTCAACAGAGTGATGGTCTTCTCTGAATGTAGGGTGTTCACCAGCATATGTGGTACCACCACTGCAGTGTAGCATAGTTCTATCCCCGAGAGGCTGCCCAGGAAATAGTACATGGGTGTATGTAGGCGGGCTTCTGTATGGATGGAAACCACAATGAGGATATTCCCAGAGATGATCAATGCATAAGCCAGGCTGACTCCAAGGAAGCAGAGCATACGTAGCTCTAGACTTTTGGGATAGGCTAGGAACACAAACTCCATCAACATTGAGTGGTTGTCCCAGGTAATTGTGTCCACAGGTATTCTCTTTAGAGTAGAAAATAATACCTGTCAGATTGCTAATTTATCTTATAGACAATGGTTTTATTTTACTAATCAAATCTAGACTTAGATGCAAGACAGATAAATATTATTCTTTTATTTTTTATTGTTATGAAATTGGTTCACGTTAAAATCTACATGTTAATTTTATCTGCAAGCAGTTTTGTAGTAAGAAAATATTAACCAAGAGCATCAGATCAAATTGTATAGATAAGAAAGGTATTTTCAGAAAGTTTGGAGCAGCAATTAATCAGTAAACTCATAAGTAAGCATCAAGCATTTCAAGTGTGGTAGGGGAGAATTCTACTAATTTATTCACTCATATATTTATTGTTTATAGATTTCACTTATATGTGTATGTATTTCACTGTCTTCTGAGGCATTAAGTTGGTGACATGTGAATGCTATATTCACAGATCCTCATAACATGAAAATTAAGAAGGAAAGAAAAAAGCAAGAAAGGAATGTGAGAGAAATGGTCATGGGGCAAAATCTTGCTCAAGTTGGACTCAACGGTGGTACAAACAAGATGTAGATAACAGTATCCACCTTTTTGGTTTCTCTAGGTTTATTCAGTCAGGACAAGAATGACGCCAGTACATACTTATTTTACCTGAAGTTTCATCCTAGCATAGTAGAAATATGAACAAAACTATTTGAGACCCTAGAAAAATATTTTGTGAGTTTGCACAGGACTTTAGAAGACATACCCAGTGTCTTTTTCCACATTTACCTTCATTTTCCAAAAGCAAATATGAAATTGAGAATGGAAAAACGTAGTTTCCTAAAAAGTCAAAGCAGAACAAAGAATATATGTGACCTCAAAATCTCAATGAACAGGCACAACTCTAAAGAATAATCTTTCCACTTCTTTTCTTAAACAAATCTATATTTAGGAAGGCTGAGGAAGGTCCTGTAACCTTATTTCAAATTACCCAATTTTAATAAAGGCCACTAGTCAATAAGGTCTATAAAAGAAATCTCTTTCCAAATACCCTTCCTCACCAGAAATATCATTTGCAGAAAGTCTTGTCGCTGCCACATGCATCTTAGTCATCTTAGCTCTCTTTCTTATTCTTTTTTCTTATAGCTAAGAAATGGTCATTGCTTCATTCTGTCTTCTTCCTGTCCTGAACTTCAAAAATGCTTTAAATAAATTTTCATAATATTTAGTACTCTGCACATTCCCTACAGTATCAGGAGGAAGGGTAAAGTGTGTATATGAAACCAATGCTGATTGTGAATAATATGACTTATATAATTCTACCAACTAGTCTATAATGCTAGGGAATATGGAACTTCTCTGAATTTCAGTTTTCTTTACTTCAAATATGGGGATACATAATTCAAAGTATTATTAAGAATTTAAGTGAAATAATAATATGAAATATCTATCAGAATCTATAAAATATAACCCCATAACCATCTGTAAGTTCAAGGGCAATTGCCCACATCATTTATATTTTTATCTTTCTATAACACTATGAAAAATGCTAAATAAGCTTACATATGATAATTGCAAACTCTATAGCTATTCTTTGAAAAATATAATTTTATTTCCATTTTGAGAATATTTCATAGTAAAATATATTTCAATATTCTTATTAAAATTACTTATATCCTATAGTTGAACTGCACCATGAAAAATATTTTATTACATAAGTATTTATGTTTGCAATAAACAGACTTCTAAAGGTAGCCTAACAGCTGTCTAATGATGGAGAGCCTTGAAGTCCACGCCAGAGTGATGAGTTTTGATAATTCTATTACAATCCATCAAACTTATGTCATCTTAATAGTACAGTTAATTAAATATTCACATGGGAATCAAGTGAGGCCATGATTCTTAGTGCTGATAGGGACATCAGAAATCACCTAGTATAGTTTTCACCAGATACTTGAACTTTAAGAAAGATTTGGTACATCAAAACGTGTTTAATATACAATGAATCCACTAAATTTCTATTTCTTGCTTCAGTATTAAAAGGCAGGATTCTCTGAAATTTCATTCTGTGATCAACTGGAACTGGCTTGTATGAGACTTCTATCTACTCTGCCTCTTCTAAACACTGTCATATTTTCTCTACAGAAACTCTTTAGACAATAAGCAACTATTCCTTTAATCCCAACTATTCTTTCCTATTTAATTGTAGCACTTTTAACACAATGGTTTGGGTGTGTGTCACAATTTAAGCTTGTTCCTGTCTGTCTTATATCTATAGAAAGCACAATGTCACTAAACAAGAATAATTATGAAGAGTTATATCTGCACATTCTTGAGATCCTGATAATTTAGGTTAGAACATTATACTGCTTGTGTCTAGTTAGTGCCACTTAAAAAGTCAGATTATGGATTTGATATTCAGAAGGTTTCAGTTAGACCCTCAACAGCATAATCCCTTTGGAAGTCCATTTCACAAAAAAATCTGTTTCTATTTTTCAAAGACATAAATACTAATATTAACCTAACTGTGCTGTGTTAAGAAAAACATGGGATTGCAAGCACTTGGCTTGGTGTATGAAACCCATGATGGTGGATAATACATTTCTTCTCTCAATTTTTTGTATCTGTTTTAGGGCTAAAGTGTTTTTGACATCCTAGAAATGATTCATAAGGCAATCACTTTTCTAACAATATCAATAGTTTGAAAATCAAGCGACAGAAAAAGACTTCTCTTACCTTCAATGTGAAGGGCGGGGGGTTAATAAGTCTGTCTCTTCAGGTTTACTTACAAGAGACAAGACTTAAAATATGGTGCCCGGCTACTCTTGTGAACCAGCATGAGAAGACAGTGATCTTGGGGAGCCTGTTCCTGTGGGACTGAGTCTTCATCAACTATCCAAAACTAAACCACAGAAGGAGCAAATTGCTTTGTCACCTAGAGTCTTGATTCACAGGTTCCATCTCCCTGAAGAAGGTAGTTCAGTGATTGCCAACCTATCCCCTTGTTACCAAAGAATTCTGAGGGATTTATTGATTACTCTATTTAAATAGGCACGGGAGAATGTATGAAGATTTATGGTAAACTGCCAAATGAGTATCACCAAGCACTGTAAAGGGCACCATTTTCATTAATTATGTAAAGATTTGTTCCAAACTGACACATCATCAAGAAGAAAATATTCAAGGAATTAAAATGAGAAAACATGGAAAACTTAAAATAACAAGAAGAAAGAAACAGACCAGGCTGACATGAAAGATTAGCATAAATCATAAATAAATTAAAGTATATTTTTTAAGAAATTTGAAGATATATCACTAGAACAAATCACAACACTGGAAGATGAAACCTATTGTGTGGGAGAAGCAGGTCTAAGTGAAAGTGGCACCTTACAAATCTTTGAGAAACACTTATTGAATCTCTGAAGGTAGAGCAACTGAACTTGTAGGGTAGAGAAATATATACTTTATTTCATGAGATATAATGCAGTTAAAATATATACAATGTCATAATCAACACAAGAAAACCTTTGGTTTGTTTTTCAACACATGGTGGGATATATATTTCATTTTTAAGATTTATTTTTGAGATTATAATATAATTACATCATTTTTCCATTCTCTTTCCTCCTTCAAACTCTTCCATATTTTCCTCATTGCTCTCTTTCAAATTCATGGATTGCTTGGTTGTGTAATGCTACTTTTATGTGTGTTTTCAGGACTGATCATTTGGTATTGGGTAACTAATTGCTGTGCTCTTCCCTGGGGAACACTATTTCTCCCACTCTCAGCATTACTTAAATGTCTGTAGTACTTTCAGCTATAAGGATTGAGGCTTCTTGGGCTTAGCTCTCTCCTCATTAGCATCCCTGTGTTTCCTTGGTTTAGTGGTATAATTACCTATCACTCTGTGATCTAATAATTAAAAATAAAAATGTTTAATTTTATGAAATAATAGACCTGTCACATAATGCTATTTAGAACACTTGTTTGTGTATTCTCAAATAAATAACAAGAGCATACCACAGAAATATCTCCACACCCTTGTTTATTGCAGCATTATTCACAATTTACAAGTTATGGACCAATTGGAGGTATCTCATAATAATGAAATGTTTAAAGAAGATGTGCTGTATGTATACAGTGGATTTCATACACACAAAGAATTACATCATATTATTTTTATGAAAGTATCATTTACTGGAGATCATCATGCTAAATGACACATTTCAGAGTCAGAAAGACAAGTAGTGAATGATTTCCTTCACATGTAGGAATATAGTCTTAAGGAAAGACATGGAATTAGAAAGGAGGATATTTGAAAACCAGTAGGAGGGAGGTGAAGGTGATCGAGTTTATAATATAATAAAATACATTGCAAATATAAAGAAGTACAAAATTTTGTAATTCAATATACCCTTATTTAAAACAAGAAATAAAAACAACACATGGAGTACAGTGTAAACATAAGTTTTTAATATTTCTGTGAGGACACATTCTGCTGAAATGATCTGTGGTAAATTTAATTTCCAAAATCTCACCTATAGCAAACTTACAGAGGGTTTTTTATAATTTTACAATACTATTCAGTTCTACATAACAGCCACAGATTCCCTTGTTCTCCCCTTTCCTGCCCCCCCTTCCCCCCAACCCACCCCCCCATTCCCACCACCTCCAGATCAAGGCCACCCCCAAGGACTGAGATCGACCTGATAGACTCAGTCCACGCAGGTCCAGTC